AGCCACCATCATATCTCTCTCTCTCATATATATATATATATATATATATATATATATATATATATATGTATATGATCAATGTGCGTGTGTGTGTGTATAAATGTGTTTCAGTGATGTGTGTGTGTGTGGGTATGTGTGCACAGATTAATATGTTGATTGATTTGATTTTTACTGTTTATTAACCCTTTGTCAGTTATTTAAAACCGAAACTGATTTTAAAAATAATTCTTCATTTTTGGGTTTTTTTTAGTAAATATTGCATTAACAATTTTGGGGGAGATAATCATTTTTTCCAAGTACAAGTCCTACTATTTAACCCATAGGGATGAGGAAGAGATGGTTTCTAACTTTCCCAAGGATACATGGTGCAATGGATAAATTGTCGTCTAAATTACACGAAAAAAAAAACACTGACATATCATTTTAACAGATATATTTGACCGTAAGTGAATTCAACAAGCTGGAATTTGAACTTGGCTCTCTGATTTCATGTATACAAATAAGCAGTAAATGTTTGTAGTTAGTGGAGTGAAGAAAGTTTATTAGAAATAATCACCATTATTTTCATGTTTATATTTATGCTTGAGAAGAGAAAAGCTTTTGTAAAAATGACACTAAAGATAAGTTTCATATGACTTACTAAAAATAGGCAAAAAATATTCAAAAGAAAAGACAATTTTAATAAACAATGCAAATCATGGTTTTCTCTGATTTTTCTTTCTATTTGCCTTCTTTAACAGACTTCATTTGTTTTTATTTTTTAAAATCTGAAACAAATTTAATCTTGTTGGATATATTTTGCAGATAGAACATTAAAAATATCTTAAGCAATTTCAGAATTTAAATAAAATATATTTGATAACAGGAAGAAATTTAAAATTTTTTCTCTTTTGTTTTTTTTTTTTCAGTCTCAAAATTTATTTTGTATTCATTTATTAAAAGTTTTCATTATAAACATGTTTTTTTGGCTTTTCACTGTAAATGTTTCAATTCATTCTGAGTGAATCCATGGAGATAAAACAGTAGACAGGAGACCACTGGGTCAGTCTTTTGAAAATGAATCTCTGTAGTTTAGTTGTAAGTAATGTCTGTAATGTTTTAAACTTTTTGCCATACTTGTAGAATTATCTCCCTAGCGATGGTGACACCAGGTGGCAGTGCCTTTGTGATGAAAAGGATAGACTGTTTGAACTGTCTACAAAACTGGGAGGTGAAAAAAACTGACTCTGCAAAAGATCAGTGGTCAGCATTAATAATTAGATTGATTTGGTTTTTTATGGCTTATTAACCTTTTGCAGATTATTTAAAGCCAGAAAATATTTTTAAATTATAAGACTTTTTTGGAGATATTAATAATTTACAGATACAAGTTCTACTGTATAGCTGAGACACGGTGGAGTAATGGATAGCGGCTTGGATTGAGGAATCGGAGAGCCGAGTTCAAATTCCAGTCGAATCCATTACATTCACTTACGTGTGAATCCTCTTTCTTCTCCCTCCAGCTATAGGTAAATAGCAGGACAGACTGGGTTCTATAGCCTTGGATGGCAACTGGTCTAGGAGAAGGAAAACTCTGAATTCAAACCTGCTCTTAGATGAGGGTGAATGGAGTCTCTCTGAGCCTTGGTTGGCAATCCATTTAGTGATGGTGTCACGATAAAAACACCCTTGATAGCCCTAGCGAAGCATCAAGAATTCAGCTATTTGACAAGATTATGAACTACACCAATCAAAGTATTAGTGAGTTCAATCTCGGCTGAGGCCGCAAGATGATGATGATGATGATGCATAGCTGAGAGAAAAGAGGTGGATTCATACCTTTCCCAAGGGTATTTGAGAATAACTGAATATAAAATAAACCAACTAGAATTAGAACTCAGCCGTCCAATTTTTCTTCTGAGTCATTATCCATTACACCACCTACACATCCAAGCTCTGATATTCCCAAGCGGTCACCCATTTAGTTATTGACCAGGCTCAATGTTACTTAACTTCAGTAATCGTACAAGAATCAATGTTTAAAAGGTGATGTGGCTGTAAGATTGTAAAAAATCTATTTAAAGGTTTACATGAGGAAAATTAATAAGAGTAAAGGCTTAACAAAATATCAATTTTGTATAGACCCTCATTTTCTGAAAAACTTGGCAAATATCAAAGTGATAAAAATAAGGCAACTCATTTACTAATATGAATGAATCAATGAAAACTGGAAATAGATTATTTTTTAATCAGTGTACAATTTATAATTGCCACCATCATGAGTATATTAAGAGGAAATTGATGATTGGATGTCATTCGATGAATTCAGTTAAAAGAGTGCTATATCCTGAAATATTTCAACTCACTCTTGCAATTCAGGTGTCTTTTACAAACATGCAACACACACACACACACACACACACACACACACACACACAGTATGTTTGCAGACTGTTTTTAAGGTTTATAACTTTTAATGTCACCAGTGAAAAGCAGGTATCTATCTCAGTGACATGTGATAGAGAATTTATGATAACAATGGCAGACTGAACATGTCTACAAATCTGGGAGGTGAAATGACTGACTGTGAAAAAAATCAAATGGCAAAAATAATAATAATAATAATTGGAAAAAAAATCTATTTAAAAGATCCACATGAGGAAAGTTATTTATAGTAAGGGCTTAAGAAAATATCAATTTTATATAGGCCTTCACTTTCTGATGGCAGGAGGAAAACAGTTACTATATAAACTATGGCACCTATGATGTCAATATTTATTAATGCTACAATTGGGGTAGATGTGCAAAATGGTTAAGTTTGTATGTAAAGTAAAAAAGAAAACCATTACAATAATTTCAATTTTCACCAATACTTTAGAAAATGTACGAAACGAAAAATTACTTGTATATGAATGCTTAAGTAGACTTCAGGTCAAGATTGACTGTGAAAGATCAGATGTCAGCAATAATAATTAGAAAAATCTATTTAAAGATTCACATGAGGAAACCTCTTACAAGCAGGAAGAACTTTACAAAATATTTAATTATTTTGGATATCATGGCCAGACTGTATAATATGCCAATTAGATTTTTAATTTGTAATGTCTATAACTTTTTGCTGTGCTGTTAATTTCTCTTGAACTAAAGATGCTGAATGGCAATATATTTAGGATGACTAAGTGTTCTTAGAAATAAAACTCAAGATAAACCATTCCAAAAAGGAAACTATGGTCTGGAATCAGAATGAAAGCAGTGATGGCACATACCCTGAATCTATCATAAAATTTCAGCATGCAAAATTAGTAAATACAAAACACTTCAGATACCTCAGTGTATGGATCAGTTATGACAAATTTGGCATAGGGGATTAGGAAATTGAACATAGACTGTGCTAGAGATAGTTTCAATCGAACAGCACAAATTACTACAAAACGAAAACATTAACCTGAAACTCAAGTCATCATTTTAAATAGCCTCGTCAGATCAAGACTTTCATATGGATGTAATACATGGCACAAAACCTATTCAAAAATATTTAAACTTTCAACTGTATACAACCACTTTCTCAAATAAATTGTTAAAAATGGTTTTCGTTGAGAGAAGCCTGTGGGTCTTGGCAAAGATCATCCCTCTTCAAACCTTGTGGACGTGCTACAGAATCACAAACAAAGAATTGTACAAAATAATAGAAACCACATCATGTGTGGACTTCCAACATCAGCAACAGCTAAAATGGATATCACATGTAACTTGAAGAGAAAATAATGATATAATCAACATGCTGATGTTCCACACTCCTTAGAACAAAATGTTAAGAGGGAAACCTCCATCAATACTGGAAAGAGCAATAACAGCTACTGGACCTGAAAAAAAGTATTTTCTTGAAAAATTATTTTAAGAAAAAAATTTTATAAATTTCAAATGCAATCAGTACTGACTGCTCGGTCACAGAATGCCAAATGTTACCTTATAAGGAAGCGGCTAATATTAGCATTACCATTTGAATTGAAAAGAGCAGATTCTACACTTTGATCAATTCCTTATGGTCAAAGGGTAACTGGAGAATCACTGGCTGATCAGTCAATGAATGCCGAATATTTCTTTAAAAGGAAATGGTTAATATTACCATTAGAGTTGAAGAGAGCAGATACTACACTTCAAGCATGGCCAAGGAGGGAATAAAAGCATAACTCGGGGAGTACTAGCTACTTGGTCAATGAATACCAAATGTTTCCTAATAAGGAAATCTCTAATATTAACATTACCATTAGAGGTAAGGAGAGCAGATATATACTGAATGTTTCCTTATAAGGAAACAGCTAATATTACCATTGCTATTAGATTTGAGAAGGACAGAGTCTACACTTTGATCACTGCCTGATCAATGAACAAAAAGAGCACTATCTGTTTTCTCAATGAATGTTAAATGTTTCCTTATAGAAAATTGACCAGTATTACTGTTGTGGACCCAGAATAGGTCTGAAAGAAAACTTGAACTCAGCAATTTAGTGAAAACATATTATTAAACAAAAGAACAAATACAAAAGTGTTGCACATCCGACTGACGGCAAAGTACAGTAGTCAACTCGTCAACTGTATACAGCTCTCTCTTGAGGCATAATCTCCCCGTATATATATATCGTAATAGAACGAGTCCATTTAGTCCATAAAGGTAGGTCCCGTATCAATTGTGAACTGATTGGAAAGATTTACAAGACTGAGTTGAGAGTACAACAATAATAATTTGAGGAAAAAATGTAAATAACTTTTTTGACATCAATAAACATGTAAAACAGGTAGTAAACTGTAGCAGTGGATGGAAAGTGTAACACTGAAATCTAAAGGTGAATAAGAATAGTGAAAATTGCCTTTCAGAAACTAAGTAAAGTATTAAGAAGTAGGATAATGTTTTTAGAAACAAAGAAAAACGTGTTGGACTGCTACATAATATCTAATCTCTTCTATGACAATATGGAGTAAGAGTAGCTAAAAACAGCAGAATCTAAGAAACAACTATCATCTCACACTGAAACAATGTGGCACAGAGAAAAAGAGATGTGGAAGGAGAGAGATGAGGAAGGAGAGAGATGGGGGAGAGATGGTGAGGGTGCAAGATGAGGAAAGATGGAGGAGAGAGAGATGGGGAGGCAGGGAGATGAGGAGGGTGAGAGATGAGGAGGGTGAGAGATGAGAAAAGATGGGGAGAGAGAGATGGGGAGGCAGAAAGATGAGGGATGGGGCAGGGTGAGAGATGAGGAAAGATGGGGAGAAAGATGGGGAGGCAGAAAGATGAGGAGGGTGAGAGATGAGGAAAGATGGGGAGAGAGAGATGGGGGAGGCAGGGGAGATGGGGAGGGAGATGAGGAGGCAAAGATGGGGTGAGAGAGAGAAAAGATGGGGGAGGAGAGGGAGGCAGGGAGGGGATGAGAGATGAGGAAGGAGAGAGATGGGTGAGAGATGAGGAAAGATTGGGGGGAGAAAAGAGATGGGGATGGGGGGCAGGGATATGAGGAGGGTGAGAGTTGAGGAAAGATGGGGAGAGAGAGAGGTGAGGAGGCAGAGAGATGACGAGGGTGAGAGATGAGAAAAGATGGGGGAGAGAGAGATGGGGGGTGAGGAGATGAGGAAAGATGAGGAGGGTGGAGAGATGAGGGAAGAGAGAGAGATGGAGGAGAGAGATGGGGAGGCAGAGAGATGAGGATGGTGAGAGATGAGGAAAGATGGGGGAGATGGGGGAGGAGATGGGGGAGGAGATGAGGGGATGGGCAGAGAGATTGGGAGGGAGAGAGATGAGGAAAGATGGGGGAGAGAGATGGGGAGGCAGAGATATGAGGGAGGGTGAGAGGAGGAGGGAAGGGAGATGAGGAAAGATGGGGAAGAGAGAAATGGGGAGGCAGAGAGATGAGGACGGTGAGAGATGAGGAAAGATGGGAAAGAGAGAGATGTGGAGGCAGGGAGATTTGGAGGGTGAGAGATGAGGAAAGATGGGGGAGAGATGGAGAGATGGGGGGCAGGAGGGGAGATGAGGAAAGATGGGGAAGGAAATGGGGAGAGATGAGGAAAGATGGAAAAGAGAGAGATGGGGAGGCAGAGAGGATGATGGGGGAGGGTGGGGGAGAGAGATGAGGAAAGATGGGGGAGAGAGATATGGGGAGGCAGAGAGATGAGGAGGGTGAGAGATGAGGAAAGATGGGGAGGGGGAATGAGATGGGGAGGGCAGGGAGATGAAAGGTTGGGGTGAGAGATGAGGAAAGATGGGTGAGAGATGAGAGATGGGAGGCAGGGAGATGAGGAGGGTGAGAGATGAGGAAAGATGGGAGGCAGGGAGATGGGGAGGGTGAAAAGATGAGGAAAGATGGTGGAGAGAGAGATGGGGAGGCAGGGAGATGAGGAGGGTGAGAGATGAGGAAAGATGGGGGAGAGAGAGATGGGGAGGCAGGGAGATGAGGAGGGTGAGAGATGAGGAAAGATGGGGGAGAGAGATGGCGAGGCAGAGAGATGAGGGTGAGAGATGAGGAAGGAGAGAGATGGGGAAGAGAGAGATGGGGAGGCAGAGAGATGGGGAAGAAGAGAGAGAGACAGATGCTGTTAATATTTATCGGAAAAACAAAAAAATATACAATGCTGTGCATTTACTTTCTCAACATTTTTTTTTTAAGTAAGGTTCACTCTGTACAAGGCCTGAGGGCCACTTGAGGTAGAAGGTTTAGCTTATATGGATAGAAGGGGCAGATTTGAACAGGTTAAAACTATAGTAACTGAAGAAACATCAATGTTGAGAAAGTAAATGCAGTGCTGTGCAAAAGTAAGTGAACCCCTAAATAATATTTTTAAGAATTGTCTCTTTTGATGTTTACCAATGATTTGAGTATATTTTTAGGCAGATCATTTATGTAGATTGGAAAGAGGTTTTGTCTGAGAAGTAACCTTTGGTGGATGCATGGTGGTAATATTGAAGAAAATGTGATAATTAAGAAGTAAAGGAGAAAAAAAAGGAAGAGATGGCTGGATATTTGTTATGATTTGAAGAAAAAAAATGTATTTTAACAATTCAGAATAAAAATCACATATATAAAAACATATGACAATGGTTCTTTTGTAAGGTATGGCAAGAGCATGTTGAAGTTGGGGGAAACACCTAACCAATTGCTCTCCCAGCAATCATGGGGTTAATAGGCAAAGAGGAGAAAGAGGCAAGAGTGTAACAAAAATAACACTTCCTTGGAAATCACAGCTACTTGAGGAACAAAAATGCCCATGGAACCGAATTCACAAGACACGGTGTCTTGCCAACTGCTGATTTTCCCCCTGATTTTATTGACATGATCTTGTCAGCTTGCAGAGAGGCCTGTATCTAGACATGACAAACTGTCCTGCTACTGATGGGAAAAACCCATATATAACCAGTTTTGGCAAACATGTCCACATACAATACAAAGCCTTTTTTGCATATGTTCAACAAAAGTTCAATAGATTTTATTTTGTTTTTTTCTAAAATTCTTAATATTTTATTAATGTCTAATATTTTATTAAATCAATATTATTATTAGTTGATTATTAAAATTTAGATTGAAATTAAATTGCATCAGATTGAATTAATTAAATCAAATTAAAATTGTGCAAACTTGTTAGTGAGCTAAATGTTTCCTAAAAGTATTAACACAGTTGTGCAAATACAAGGTTTTTCTTTATATAAGCTTGTTTGAGAGAGCTCTTTCAAAATAAATGAAAAGTTTTAAAATACCTTCATCCACAGAAATGTCGACACATATACAAAATTGGCATCTTTTGTCCACTTTGTTTCTTTCACTCTCAGTAGCCCTTTTCATCTTAGTGGCCTTATTGCCTTGCTTGGGGTAAAATGATTAAAAGAGAAAAAAAGTCTTTGTACATTGATAGTCTCATTCTTGGATTTACAAAAATATTGGTTGTTATCTATCATTCAATTTCCCTGTCTATATTTCTGAGATGAGGTATTGTAACTGTTTACATTGTTCAGACTGTTGTCCTCATCTTTAATATCATATTCACAATGTTTCAGCCATTGTACACACTGACCTTCTTCCGAGGATATACATTGGAATTTCGAATCCTTTATTTAGTTCACTGGGGTAGAGTGTTCTAGTTCCACTTGCCATGCCTTTTCTAGATATCTCAGTTTCAGTTATTTTCATTTAGTAACTCAACTCTCCAAGTTTTGTTCATATCTGCTGTGGCCAGGTATTGAACTTACAACTCTTTGGGTCAAGTCACTGGATTATTTCAACCAACGCTTTTATCCACTAGGCCAGGGTTTTTCAAACTGTGGTCCGCGGACCAAAGGAGATTTGCAAGGAGGAGATAGGGGGTCCATGGACAGCAAAGACTTTTTTATGGGTGACGTGCAACTTATAAGCGCTTATAAGTAACTTATAGGCCGATCATGAAATAAATTGATCCAATAAACTATTTCATAGATTTGATATAATAATATAATTTGTATCTTAAACTGATAAAGATAATGGATTTTATTCATGCAGAGGATGAACCAAAGGATTTGAATTTTGAATAAGGGGGTCCCTAAGGTAAAGCCTGAAATATAAAGATGTCCGCAAGTCCAAAAAGTTTGAAAACCCCTGCACTAGGCAATGTGGTTCAATGTCTGTGTTATATATTTGGCACATATACCAGAATCATTGCATAAATTCGGCTCTTCAAGGAGCCAAAAATACTGATGGGGTAATCTAATTAGTTTTTCAATGGATTGAATATATTTTCTTAGTGAACAAACAGTTCATCTCTTGTAGAAAATATTTTTCATTCTGTTGGAAGGAAGAAATGAAATATGGTTGAATTCCTTCTATTTTTTCAAATGTTGGAAGATTTCTCTTGTTGACTGAAAAAGGATATTGCGAAATCTGCAATTACAATAATAGACCAAAATATTCCTCTGGTTGTTGAAACGGATGCGTCAGACTGTGCTATTGCTGCTTCTTTGAAACAAGCTGATCGTCCTGTAGCCTTCTTTTCAAGGACCCTCTCACAGGCTGAGCGACGACACCCCGCAATTGAAAAGGAAGCCTACGCCATAGTCGAGGCATTAAGAAAATGGCGACACTACCTGATCGGACGCCACTTTAAACTTATTACTGACCAGAAATCAGTTGCTTTTATGTTCAACTCTAAAACTACGAGTAAAATAAAGAATGAGAAAATAGCGAGGTGGAGAATTGAGGCTATCTTGTTTCTCCTTTGACGTCAGCTACCGACCTGGCAAGGAGAACTTAACAGCTGATACACTGTTAAGAGCATGCTGTACGGCATCAAGCGGGGACGAACTCCGAACGCTACATAACAATCTCTGTCACCGGGCATTACTTGAATGGTTCATGCTGTGAGGTGTAGAAACTTGCCTTTCTCAGTGGAGGAGGTAAAAAAATTACAAATTCTTGTCGAACGTGTGCTGAAATAAAGCCTCGATTTTATAAACCCCAAACTGGCGTTTTAATAAAAGCAACACAACCGTTTGAAAGACTCAATCTTGATTTTAAAGGACCGCTACCAAGTAAAACAAGGAACAGATATATATTAACGGTTATCGACGAATATTCACGGTTTCCTTTTGCCTTCCCTTGTTCAGACATATCGGCTGCTGCAATTATACAATGCCTCTGCTCACTATTCACCATCTTTGGAGCCCCTGCCTATATACATTCGGACCGAGGGGCTTCTTTCATATCAAACAGCTTCGGCAATTTCTATAGGAACGAGGGAGTAGCTATAAGCCGGACAACTCCCTACAACCCTAAGGGTAACAGCCAATGCGAAAGATATAACGGCATTATTTGGAAGACCGTTCAATTGGCTGCCTCAAATAACGGATGTTCAATTGATAATTGGGAAAATCTCCTTCCTGTCGCATTATACACCATTCGTTCCCTATTGTGTACCACCACGAATGCCACCCCCACGAAAGGTTTCTACCTTTTCAGCGACGGAGTTCGGCAGGGACTTCGCTTCCATCTTGGCTCTCTCGACCCCGGTACTGTGTTTCTGAGACGACATGCGTTACACCAGAACGATCCCTTGGTGGACGAGGTAGAGCTTATAGAGGCGAACCCTTAGTACGCGCTAGTACGACATCCAGATGGTAGAGTCTAATGTGTCTCTCAGGGACCTAGCACCGGCCGGAGACGTACCCGGACCGTGGATAGCCCCTGAGGACAGACCAACTACCCCTGACACTGAAGCCCCTCCGGAAGATCATGGCACTAAAATTGGTCCTGACACGCCGTCTGACGACACTGTCTCCGTTGAGGCCCCGTCAGACACTTCGGATGGGCCAACACCTGAAACCCTGACAGATGAAGGGCTAGCACTGAATAAACGTGTTCATCCAGAGACTGACTCTGACGCGGAACGGCCTGCTCCTCTGAGAAGGAAACATTTCGACCAAAGGTATTTTAGAGCCCACAGACAGGCTCGCACTGAAGAGCCTCCCTGTTCGAGTACTCCGACCACGAATCATGGACTGCCGAGGCGGCCACTGCGAACTCGTGGGAGCCTGGACATTTAAGGGACTTTCTTCCCTATCAGTGAGAAATTTGGTGGGGGAGAATGTTGTGAATATGGATTATCTCCTCTTAGATAATCCAAGCTATAAAAGCTGTATACTTCCGCTGTCAAGTCAGATGAGTAGTAGTATTCTTAATTGAATAAACGATTACTAGACAGAATCTCTTGTCCTGTTTTCATTACAGCACATATACCCATACATACGAGTACAAATATGTATCCATTATTTGACATTGAACGTAGGCAACGCAACTTGGTAAAATAAGACTCGTGAAAGATAACTGGCAGTCTAATTTGAAAGCCTCGTCTCTCATGTTAAAATTAGAGATATTGGTAATCAAGCTCGCAGGCCGGTCAAAATGCCTTCGCTGACCGGATCCGGCCCACGGGCCATAGGTTGCCGACCCTTGGTCTAAGGGATACAGCTGCTTTAAAATTTCTTCTGTCTTCATGCATTTGGCTGTCTTTCAGAAAAACCATGTATGAAAATTCCCTTTTTCAAAATCCCAGCCATGGGGTCTTTCCCCAGATGAGGAAATATTGAAATTAAGTTTCATACTCCTTGAATATATATGTATTCATCTACCAGAAAAGAGGTGGAGACAAAGGAAATCAAAATAAACCAAATTTTCAACGGATTTGCACCAAAATTTATATGCACATACTCCAAGTTTTGCAGGAAGGCCAAGACTGACTTTGCATTTCCCAACTCCCATTGATAGTGGAAATAATCTTCACTACTTGTTGAAGTCATTCATGAAAATCATTGATGTTGGCACACACAGTTTCCATGGGTATTTTGTCCATACTTGCTTCAATATTGTAGTGCAAATTATAACAGGCCTCACTCTAAAAAACTATCCACAAACAATAGTCAAGAGTGTTGATATCTGGTGATAAGAGAGGCCATTCACCCTTGCTGATGAAGCCAGGACAATTGTCTCTGCATGACAGCTGTGTTACATGAGCAGTATGGCTCATCACTCAGCCTTGTTGAAGTGTCCAATGTTCATCAGCATAAGTGGCATTGCATTACAGCTGGAGTGCACCTTCCAGGATGTCCTCTTCATTGTTGACC